ACCCCCAAAAACAAACAACAACAACAACAACAAAAACAGTTCAGAGGAATTTGAGTCAATGTGATTAAGCTCTTTAGAGGTGAAAATAAGAATGATTAATTGAGGATGGTCAAAATAGCAAAGACCTCACTTTGATAGACATTTTCAAGTGCCATAGTATAAATATATTCATTTAGAGCATAGTAGCATAAATATATAAAACCTTAAATATTTGTTTAAAATATTTTGTTATTAAATTCCAAAGCTATATTCCAGTGGTCAAGTATTATGAAAAATGAAGTAGTTCCATTAAAATTTTAGGGCATATTTTACTTGTTTTATTGGTAGGTGTTTTTAAACCTTATTTTAAGGCTTTGTCACAGTATATAGAGAGCTAGAAAGAAGTCTACATATACTTTTTCAGCCAGGCATTGCTCCTGTCTACCCTGTATGTATAGATAGCTCTAATTTATCTAATTCAAAGATTCTGGGAAAATAGGAAAAGACTGTTCTCTAGTTTCCCCACATTTTCTATGGATTTTCATTTATAATTTAACTTTGTGGTTTAGGTAAGACAGTAAAAATGTCATTAGGACTGTTCAGTGGCAAGAGAACACAGGAGCCACCGTGTGGCAATGCAGTAAGTGTTAAATTTTATTTTTCTTCAAATTCCAATTTATTTTTTAGCTCAGAGCTTTTTGCACTCAACAAGACTGATGGTATGGTTAAAACACTCCTAACACTAAATCTATTTAATCTGTTCTCTAGTAGGGACAGAAAATAGTTGATTTCCTTCTACCTAGTGATTTTTCATATGATGCTACTATTGGATATTTCTATAAGATTACTCTGAATATTATCTTCTCTACATTCAAACAGTTCTTTGTGGAATTACAGCATGCAAGTTTTATTTTTGAACTTGTCATTTATTTTCAGTACTTATTTGGATGTAGTCCTGGAGAAGCTCCTCAACTCTTTAGTTTTGTGGGCCAATAACTCTCAAGATAAATGATGAGCCAAGTGTGATGATGCACACCTGTAATCCCAGCTTGTATTCAAAGCCAGCCTTAGCAAGTTGGTGAGGTTGTAAGCAACCTAGCGAAACCCTGACTCCAAATTAAAAAGGGCTGGGGATGTGGCTTAGTGGTCAACATCCTTGGATTCAATTCCTGGTGTGTGTGTGTGTGTGTGTGTGTGTGTGTGTGTGTATGTGTGTGTGGAGAGAGAGAGAGAGAGAGAGAGAGAGAGAGAGAGAGAGAGGTGTGTGTGGCTGTAGCAGTGGATTACTGTTGTCGATTTGTAGCAATCTTCAGGTGTTGAGCAGGGGGTAAAACACCAAAACCCACTGTTGTTTATCTGTTATATAGGAACAGTGGTCCCTATATTATTCTAGTTTTTTATTACAAAAACATGGCTCACTGGGCATACACATGCTTCAGATGTTTTTCTAGCATGAAGGCAATGCATACCTGTTATAGAACAATTGAAAAATGCAGAAGGTGAAAAGTGAGAAAATCGAGCCCTTCTATTACATGAGGACACCACTGCTAATATTCTATTGTATATTCTTCCATTATTTTTCTGAGCATATGGTGTTTTTTTAAAATTTTGTTTTTCCCTTTGCTTAATATTATATAATCATTATGACCTGACAGTCATAAAAGCTAACTTTTAAAATTTAATCAATTACTATTTATTTCAATATAAATTATAGAAAACCAAAAGAAGATAAAATTGCTTAAGTTTTACCCTGATGAATAAAACTTCTATTGAAGTCTGGTTTATACTTTTCTATTAATTTTTCTAGTAAGACAACTTTCTTTCTAAAACTAAGAAATGTGCTTGCCCTGTACCCCCAGTAGCAGATCCTGCAGGGATGTTTCCCTCGCCCTCACCAGCCAGCCCCCTTTCTTTGGGCCCCTGAAGACTGCATTGGTACTGGATGTCATCAAGCTGTGGAGCACTCATGCCTCCCTCATCAAACTTTTATTCTGAATGCAGATGTGTCTGGTCTGTACTGTTTCAGAACTGGACCATATGGGGAGCCATATTCTTCCATTAAGAAGGATCCACCAAGAGCGCTGATCTGCCGTGAAAGTGAGTGAGGCAGATAGAGGGGGGCATGGGAGAGGTCTTAATAGCTTTCCATTTCTGATACGAAGCCCTATTGCTTATCTTCCTCTCATCCCATTATCCTCCTAATGTTGTTGACCTCCTTCCTTCCTGATCTCTTGAGTTGTTTTCCTGTTGTTTCCAGCTAGAGGATCTTAATCAAAAACACATGGTTTGTTACCTTTTTTTCAGCTACTATATAAATATATAATGAAAGTCTTTTCAAATTTCTGAGTAATTTCCATAACATTTAGTAGTTATATAGCCATCATAAAACCTTATTATTCTCTTACATTCTTTTTTTTTTTTTAATTATAAGTGATTTATAAAGGAATATATTGTTGCTAAGTTTTAGGGACATAGGCTTTTGTTCTTAACAAAGATCACAGTGTCAACTATGTGTTTTCTGAACACCTGTGATGGGCATTGTCAAATTGCTCTCTAGAAAAATTGTATCCAGCTCTGCCTCCATCAGCTCTGCACAAAAGGGCCTCTTTCTCTACCACCTAGCTGATATGGATGTTACTCTTCCAAAAAGTCTCTTATACCACTCAGTTTTTTTAAAAAAATTTTTAATTGTAGATGGACACAATGCCTTTATTTTATTTATTTATTTTTTAATGTGGTGCTGTGCATTGAATCTGGTGCCTTACACGTGCCAGGCAAGCCCTCTACCTCTGAGCTACAACCCCAGCCAGGCCAGTAAGTTTTGACCAATAATCAGGAAGTCTGTTTTCTGAGCATTCTGATTTCCCATGCTGTGGTTTCAGCCAATGCTACCTTTTTGTTTGGGTTCTGTGTATCCTGCATTCACAAAGATGTCTACTTGGTGAAAGCTCGAAGGTAAAGATAATTAATTGAGTGCTTTACTATAACAGAACGGAAAACTGTATTGCTTGCCCTGTATCCCCAGTAGCAGATCCTGCAGGATCCTGGAAAAAGAAATGGTGGCCTCAGGTAGCCAATCCACTGAGTCTCTCTAGGTAAATTTAGATTGATTTTGGCAACAAGTTATGTTACCCTTCACAAAATGTAATTTCTTAAAGCAACTCTAAATGATATTAGTCTGGGCAGATAAAGGTTCTTTGAGTTTTCTTCTAATAATGATGACTTACAATATATTAGAGACTACACGAAATGCTTTGCATATATTACAGTCTTACCAAATCTATGATGTGACTTCCATTACTGGCTGTTTTCTCAGAGAACTAGGAGATTACTTCAAGGTCACTCAATGAGTGACTATAGTGAAGGGCCAGGTAACAGCAGCTGAAACACCTAGGCCCCCTGACTCCTTCCAAATGGGGGCTGCTTCTGCTCCTCAGCACCACTTTTCTCCAGTTCTTTGTGTTCCCTCCTATCTTTCCACACTTCTAGTAATCCATGCCCATTCTTTTTCTTTTTTCTTTTTTTTTTTTTTTTTGTTTGGTGGCGGGGAGTACTAGGGATTGAACTCAGGGGCTCTTAACCACTGAGCCACATCCCCAGCCCTATTGTATTTTATTTAGAGACAGGGTCTCGCTGAGTTGCTTAGTGCCTCACTTTTTGCTGAAGCTAGCTTTGAACTCACTATCCTCCTGCCTCAGCCTCCTGAGCTGCTGGGATTATAGGTGTGCATTACCATACCTGGCTCTGTGCCCATTCTTTAGGGGAAAAATTATAGCATGTTGTTGCAAGTTTCTAGACCAAAGGCCAGCCCTCCA